GGCATACAAATTTAATGGCAATGTCTAATTATATTTATTAAATCAAATGACAGGCTTTATGGTGGCTATCATTAGTCCTTTAATTGACTTTGGACTTCACAGAGAGGAGGAGCATTAAAGTCACAAAAGTCGAGAGAGGGAACAGAAGAGTGATTCACAGATGTAAAAGCGACAGACAGGCACAATGGTAGAGAAAAAGGTGAGGTGAGTACTGTGGAAGGGGTGGAATATGACATACAGTGGAGTCATGGTAGTTTGAAGTCAGAAGTCAACTGTCGATTAATAGACTTTTGCCGTATGAGTATACATTGCCCAGAGTGCACCACGTGGAGGTAAGTCTATTGCGCACCCCATATCTAATTTTTAATATGGGACTTTAAAAATAACCAATATGGAGCTATTTGCCTATAAAATCCCTTCCTTACAGGCGATTCTTTTCCGGTCCGCACTTCATTAATTGGCTAAGTCAACGGGAGAGCGAAATTCGCGTAAAGTTGCACTCCCTTCACGTCGACGCTGTCGTCAACGCCGATTTCAATCTTTGGATTGAAAAACGTACTGAAGTTGAAATCGTGGACATGATTATTTCGTTGAACCACCTCATGGTATGCTCAGCCTCAATTTGCTTGTCAAAATACATCAAATACTTTTATTATTATTATTATGGCCCATGATAGTGCAAAAGTCTTGCAAGAGAAAGTATGCTTGGTTGATGGAGCTTCAAAGCAGTTAAGTAAGTGGAAGTATAAGTATTCTATGATGTCAGATCACATATGAGAAATAAAATTAGATTTTTTTATCACTCAGTAAGGCAGAAATATTGTAAACTTTTTCATTGTATGAGAGTGTAGCGGATTGCTACGATAGTTATGTATATTGTTTTGTAGACTTGTAGCGGATTGCTCCCTAAGTCTCGAACATGTAGCGGATTGCTACCTTCGTAAAGCCTTGGTTAAAGACTTGTAGCGGATTGCTACCTTAGTAAAGCCAGACCGGTTGAGAATTGTAACGGATTGCTACCTTAGTAAAGCCTGACCGGATTGCATTGTAGCGGATTGCTACGCTAGTAAAGCCTGACCGAAATCTCTATGGCAGATTCTCCAACACCTAGCTAGACTCCCAGAACAGCTAAGCTATAGCTCCACGGATTGCTACGCTAGTAAAGCCTGACTGACTCAGAAATATTGCTACTCTAGTAAAGCCTGACTAACTCAGAAATCTCTGGCTACGCTAGTAAAGCCTGACTGACTCAGAAATCTCAATGGGAGATCCTCCTACATCTAGCTAGACTCCCAGAACCAGCTAAACACCTTAGTAAAGCCTGACTGACTCAGAAATCTCGATGGCAAGATAGTCTCTATGGCAGATTCTCCAACATCTAGCTAGACTCCCGAGAAATCTCTGGCAGATTCTCCTACATCTAGCTAGACTCCCGAACTAGCTAAGCTATAGCCCAGCTATAAAGAAAACAGACGTATAATTCAGCTAAGCTATAGCCCAGCTATAAAGGAAACAGACGTGTTGCGCTAAGCTATAGCCCAGCTATAAAGGAAACAGACGTGTAGGGCACGGAGCACCGTTTATTCAGTACGTATATTGCGGCATGGTGTACACGCAGGGAGTTAATCATGATCAGGATGGCGGATCAGGTTAAACAAACAGATGAATCAGGATGGCGGATTAGGTTAAACAAACAGAGGTTAATGACTGGTCACTGTTTGTACGGTCGCACCTACCCAATCATGGCGTGCAGGCATGCGATGACGTGTCCCACAAGAGCAACGTGAGTCGGTTAGTGGTAAATCCATAAACAGTAAATGAGATGGGATCGAAAATGTTGATGATTACGTCTGTATCATGGAGTCTTACTTAATTTTATCTTTGAAATTTGATTGAGCAATATGTGCCTAATGGATAGTCTACGTAATAGAATTCGAATCTCACGAGTTGCTGGATTACTGAATGTTCGCAGTATCCACTGCTTATTGACCAGATGCCTAGTTATGGTTGTCGGCCTTGGCACTTCAGTTTATTTTTTCTTCCAAGGACTGTGAGAAGGTAGGATGGTATTACGCGCTATTAAGCATATCTCTCTTGTAGATTTGGCATATCAGAGCAGAAATTGCCAATAATTTTAATCAAGCTGAGGTTAGTAATTAGTGCACGCTCCTTAGATTTTAAGTGTGTTCTAAAGCTTGTCCAGATTTTTAGGTGACCTCACAGTTTGTGTTGGCCAGGTGATTTAATGGAATAGGTGATCCTTAATACTGATTCATTTATATCTTCCTACGGTCATAAGTAGGTGAGTGAGGTTAGTAAAGCAATCTTAAACGCGGTATAAATTTTTTGGAAAAGTTATTAATTCTCCACTATGGTGAATTCCCCGTCTGTCTTATTCCTTTTTTTCTCCCCCAGGCAAAGAATGAGCAAAACGAGTGTGGAATCGATGGCATACGTCGACAGATATCTATTCTCATGGAAGGCCTTCCGGAGGACTTACGACAAGTAGTGGGTCGAAGCTCTTCAGGAACTGGAGCTGCAATGAGTGTACTTGAAAATGGATAGATAATCCTCCCACCTTCTTCCACTCAATTCCAACTTTGTAGATATGCACATATATCTTCCTCTCCCCTTTTGCATGCACGAAAAAATCAATTATTTCCTTCCTTCACCATAATTTTGCTCGTTGATTTACTGTGGCTAAATGATTTGTAGTTTAATCTTTCTTTTCATATCTGTTGTTTTGTCCTGCCTTTTTGGTTTGGTTTCAATTACTGTATTACTGAAATAGATAATGGTAGTATGGAGTAAAGCGATAATATTCAAGACTCATTTGCAGTGAATTCGTAATAGCTAAGGTGAGTCTCTCTATGGCAATTTATAAAATATACAGCAATTTTGTCTACTGTTACAGAATAGTGCAATTTGGGCTTACTGCTAGCGTTACAAGAAGTAGCTTAAATTGAAGGAAAGTAATTTGAAAAGTGAAAAAGAAGTCCCGAATGTGCTCTTCGTATTACTACTACTAGTATATGAAGCATATCATGATTAACTTCAACTTTTTACTGCATCTCTAAATCCTTTCAAGATGCCTGCATGCCGTAAAATGCAATCATCGGAAGCATGTTGGAAGTCTTAGTAGGACCAGGTTTGAGATGACTGATCTCTTCATCCCTTGGGAGCCTTTCCCATTAGCGCCTATTTGTGCTCAATTAAAATCTTTTGCGCTGGAAGAGGGGAGGGGGAGGATTATTGCGTACATATATTTGGGAAAGTCTCTTTTTGACTTGCTTATACGCAATTGCGAATAATCTATTTCCAGAGGAATATTTGAGGGAGAATTATTTCAATCCTAAAGCTCGTATCCAGTCACATCCCTGTCAGTTTTTTTGGCTCAGAATCGACGCAGCATTATTACATCCGTTTTTTGCATTTATTCTTATTTTTCCTCTTTTAAAATGTCAACTCAAAGATGGCCTTTTATGGTTGAAAGCATGATCCATTCCCTCTGTCTGCAACTTGAATAAGGGATATATAACTCATGATTCCACTTGCCAGAGTTTTCACAAAGATTTCCACTAATAGAGACGCTTACGACATTGAACTTGGTGGGAAAGTTTGCCTAGGGCATCTCTCACGAGGGACCGGCATTCTTCCAATCCACCAGTGGCCATGAATAACCGGGGAATCGGTCACCTACACGGTTGAAAAAGCACCGATAAACATTGAACCCTGACTTGGCAGGCTTACATGTTGATCATAAAGGGGGAGCCACTTTCTCGTTGATATTACCCTTAATAGAGAAACTATTGAAGGTATATGCGTCGCTCACTAAAGGGCATCACTGAAAATAATGATTTGATTTAAAGTTTGAAAGTAATGTAACTATTCTTTTTGGATTTAGGAATTTAGCCATTTGCCCTCAATGGTTCATCGCTTTTAGATGTTACGCAACGAGGGGTGTGTGACTTAACTCCACGTGGTACACTCTGGGCACCGTATACTCATACGACAAAAAGTCTATAAACTGGCAGTTGACTTCTGACTTCAAGCTACCATCACCCCACTGTATGTCATATTCAACCACTTCTACAATACTCATCTTTCCTTTTTTTCTACCTTCGTCTCTGAAACACTCTTCTGCCCCCCCCCTTCTCGACTTTTTTTCATTTTGATGTTCTATCCCCTCCGTGAAGCCTGAAGTCAACTAAATGGCTAATGATAGCCATCAAAACGCCTGCTATTTGATATAAATAAATGTTACACAACAAACAGACTGAAGGTAATCGAAAGCTACAGACTGACAGGATGAAAGCAGCGAACAAACTACAAGCTAACAGACTCTTTCTCCTGAACTAACCTCGTATATGAGGATTAGCTTTAACGGTTCTATTTTTATTTACTAAAAAAATACACAATGCACATCAAATGCTGTAAAAGTAGGACGAGTGTGTGAGGGGAGGGTACAGAATCACTCATGCACGTATCTCACAACAAGAGGAGCTGAGGAGAAAGGGAGAAATGGAAGATTGCACAAAAAAGATTACATTCTTTGTTTGTCTACGCACGGAATTGTCAAGATACGAAGGACGAGAAGTTGTCAATACTAGGAGAGATCAGGCGCCAAATTGTCCACCCTTCGTTGAGGCTGGGAAATCCCCCGGGCAGTCGTTTGTTGTTGCTGCTGTTGCAACATCTGTTGCTGTTCGAGTACACTGCGTCGACTTTCTTCTACCAGGTGGCTGAAACTCTTGTCCAAGAAATCACGAATATCCGCATAGGTAACGATTATCACTTGATGTGCTTTGCGACTTGATAGGCATACCAGCTCAGTCGAACCGGCCTCAACCTATAATGAAGGGTGAAGTGATCAGCTACCAACTGGATTTTGTTCTAATGAGCTTTACTATCCATGTCTAAATGTTCGTGGATTAAGAAGTAAATGAATCAATATGACATAAATAACATTCGTTTAAATCGCTGACTCACGAGGGCATGAACTTAACCAGAAACTAAGATTACGAAAAAAAACAGAGTGAATCTTTGTCAAATACTATTTAGATTTGGGATTCTAAGTACCAAAAGCCGAAAAAATGATAAAAATGCAAATTGCCACCATCACGAGACCGGTATCGTTAAACCGGCATTCTGATTTTATAGATGATTACAATTTCAGAGATTTAATAGCAAATTTAATGCAATGTCTTTGTTTTAACTATTTATTTGTGAGACTTACGTTTAAAATATGCAAAAGTGTGAACTTTAATTAACCCTTACTTATTATCAGACTTGAAGGATTGCTTAATTACCTTATTTAAGGCCTGGACAATATGTGCGAGGTCCAGATATGGCGCACCATTTTGGTCAACTTGATGGAAAACGTAGTCTCTGAAGAGTTTCAGCATATATCTGTCGTCAGTCTCTGACCAATCAGGTTCGGGATATTTTGACGTACTTACACTATGCAATGGAAAGACATTCAAATGCAAGCAATACGAAACAAAATTTCAATAAGTAAAACAAATTAGAAATATCCACTCACTTTTGGCGTTCGACAACCGAGTTCAACTTGCAAATCAGACGGAGTAATCGGCCATTTGAAATTTCCTAAGGAGAATTAAATGCTATTGGAGAACAAATTCAACCTACTCTTTGTAGAAAAGTTTCAAGATTTCGAGCAAGAACATTAACCGATTCCATACAGTCGTAGGCATGGTCAGCAGTTGCCATGACAAGGGCGTCGATGGTGGTGATATTGCCTAAAACAAGATCACGAACAATGTTGCGGAGTTCAGGGCTTACTCCACTGTCCAGAAGGGGCAGGTACTCGGTTGGTTTCTGGAAGGTAAATAATGGTAGTTCAGTACATATGAGCAAAGTTAATTCACTACAACTTTTGTCGGCAATAAAATTGAAAAACAAATTTGGAAAATTGTTAAAGTTTAAAAAGGCAATATTGACCGAAATTTTTTCTATTGGAGCAATCAAGGTGTTTTCCATAATAAAATTTGTCCTTCTATAACATCTCTTCTCTACTGCAAAATGCGAATAACCATTCTCTCAACAGAAGGTTAGCACCCTGGAGTCCACAAGATAGGAAACTCGGATTCTGAATAGCACTAATTAGTACTATAGATTACGCCAATCATTTACTTATGGCAACGGAGTAATGAACACGTGATCTTCATAACCGTAGATGTACACACCACCGGCACACTAGAAATATTCCAAATGAATAAATCTCTCTCTCTCTCGCACAATAAAAATTCCCTAAGGCCTCTTAACATTGTGTAATATACCTTAAGTTCAATCAAACACAAATAGTACGTGCCTTTTCACCTTAACTGAAAGCAAATGAAGTAGAAAAAGAAACCATATTAGAGTGACAAAAAAAAACCAATAAACTAAGCATTCATTTTAATAAAGAATAAATACGGGAAAATGGCCTAAATTACCTCATATGCAAGCTGGGTTCCAACAATGATTCCAAGCATTATATTACCCAAGGCAATAAAGTCCATGGCCTAAAATAGGTAAGGGAACATGAGGGAGTGAAATTATGATTATAGAGTGTGGGCAACAATATTCCCCATACCATGACTTCTGGTCTTTGTTTTTCATTCGATTTGGGGAAGTTAACGACATCTCTTAAGCCATAACAATTGATATAGACCCTAGTAAACGACGCAAAAAAGGGATAATTAAGAATAGAGTTAAGCGTAATTACAGAATTGAAGAAAAATGATGCACAATATAATACCTCGATCCATCTTGGATGAGGATTTTGGTGGGATTAAGAACATCGAGGCTCCGGTGCATCTTCTTGTGAGCGCAGCGGAGAGCCTGAGTTAACTGGACCAGGATAAACCAGGAACGACGCTCTGGAGCAAAGTCCGATTTAACCACTTGGTCTTAGGAGAGTAGAAAAAATAGGATAAAATTGATGCTTTCACATCTACTCATCTTAGCTGGCAACGGCAAATTGTGCCCAGACCGTCAATCAATTAAGTAACTACTGAATCTTGAAGCTTGAATTACGATCCAAAAAAGTTGGGACAAAAATATCTCTTCCCAAGGTGTGCAGAAAAATCATTTCAGGTAGAAGGGTAATCCCCAGTAAAAATTTGCAAATCGATAAAATAGATTATGGTACTACACGCCAAATAACTACTTCAATGCAGTAATGTCCGTTTTTTAGATACATTACATTATGCACAAGATGAAACCTCTCTTTACCGCTCTTAGCAAAAGCCATCCAAAACTGCAAACATCTTAGATCAACACTTTAATTAAACAAGAATGAAAATAAACTCTTCAATAAACATAAAATCATATACCTAATAACTATGAGTAAGTAATTACCAATACTGAATTATCGCCTTAATAAGGGAATAAACTATTATTAATGGAAACAGTACTCCCAAAATGCCTACATAATCAGTAATCAGAGATAAAACTGGCTAAATTAATTTCAAAATGACATTTTGTCCAACTACTCAGAAAAAGTTCTATTCAAATATAAAGTAGATTATTGAGTACTTATACGTAATCGAAATCTAGCCGCTGAAATATGAAAAAAAGTGAAAAACTTATTAGAAAAGTCACCAACCTGGGCTTTTAGTATGCTCCAACATGAAAACGTCTCGAAGAGAACGGGCACAGGGAATAAAGTCGTAAACGAAAAGGATAGCTAAAAACAAACACATCAAGTAAAAAATGAAAGAGAAACCATGTTTTAATTAGTGTAAAGAGGGAGGAAATCCGTCTTACAATTGTCAGAAAAGTCCGTCACAGGTAGTACGTCGAGTAATCGCAGAATAGTTGAGTCTCTCTCCTCGGAAAATGCATTTGCAAGCATGTAAGCCTCTCGAGTGATCACTTTAGAGGAATCCAAAATGACACACCGAAGAACTACGTATCTCCCAAGTCGGGGACACCAAGCTCTAAATGATTGAGTCATAAAGCCCAGAGAAAGAGAAGCGCGGGGGGCAGTATCCATTGGAGTAACTGACATGTAGGGTCCAAGTTGAGTTGGGAATTCTACTCGAAACAAGTGGGTAAGAAACATAGCTATGTACTGTGGGCAATAACTATATAGCATATGCTACTTACTGCGATCAGTAGTCGGAGGAGGAAGACAAGCCTGGATTTTCGCCTTGATAGACTAAAAAATGAATAAAGGAGATAAGATTATACTGAAACATAGGATATCGGGAAAGAAATATAACCTACTCGAAAAGTTGCTTGTTCAATATAAGACGTAGCGTCGGTATCCGGTGAAGTGCTTCTCATGAGGTAGAAGCGACCAGTTCTAAGATGTTCAGATCCATAAGGGGGGACAGATGGAAGCATAGCCCATTGGGAAGCATCTCTTGTTGAAGAGGGTTGAACTTGGGTGGGAGGAATTAGGCCACAGAAATCTCCTCCAGTGGTAGATGATGCCAAAGGGAGACCGGAGGAGTGAGATACTGACATATCTCGATAACCCAAATTATCATTCACTAACGACATTCTTTGCAGAATTCCAACATTTTTCTGTTCTTCTAAGGGTCTTCCAGAACCAAATCGATTCGGTGAGTAGGGATCATTAATTTTGCCATCTACTAAAGTAGAATTCTATACAAAAAAATTTTAATTGGAATAATGATTTATGCAAATCGTACAAAGTCCAATACATACGAAAAAGGCTTACAAAATTCGTTTGACTCATGATTTTGTTTCTATCCAACCAAGTATTCATGTCATAATTTTGAGAGGGGTGCAAATTTTGACTGGAGGAAAATGGACGAGAATTTCTCGGGACTTGCATTCTTTGAGAATTGGGAGGATACTGGCTTGAATTGTTCAAAAATGTGTTTGCAAGAGACATTGTTAAAGAGCTCACATCTTGGTGTTCAAGGTTCTAAAATACACAGAGTTACGAAATTGTTAAAGTACGTCAGAAATCGTATTTGAGAAATTGAAGCGATTGTGCGGAATCATAGGAGAACTATTCCCTTGTGAAAAGAAATTAGCCATTAAATCGTAGTCTTTGAAAGTAAAGTTCTAAGGAAGTAGGTAGAATGGAAAGCAAATTGTTTTGAAGATTGCTGCTCTTTAAAGTATTAAATGCACAAAGACCAAACGGCCGAGCTTATTTGCAAATAACTGGCTAAATAGTTAAATATTTAAACAAAATAACGTATTATTCGTTTGTAAGTGGTTCATATACATTAAACGAATGTAATTATAAGTAATATCGAAACTCTATTTTTATTATCTTTATGTCTGCTTTTGATACTAAAATTTATGTATTCAAATTTATAAATAACGATTCTTCACATTTAACAATGACCATCACGAAAACATTTAAAATCGAGCCGAAAGTGCAGTGACTTAATTAGCATAGCTCTATAGCATAGTCAATATTTATTTTATACTCCGTTTAAAAATTATAAATGCAAAAAAGTTGAATATTTTGTACAAAATGCCTTAAATTATAAAATGTAGTGTTCGACTTCTTTCTTTATTCCTTCTCTTCTAAGAAGTCATCGACCTTCTAGTTGATATTTTCAAATTTAACCATTATAAATGACTGTAATTAATATATTAAAATTGCAATATGTTTTCTACCTATGTGTGGCAATTATTATAATTCATTTGCATACCCTATAACCGGTTTGAAGATACTCAACAATGACTTAACTATTCTCTTGTAGAAAGCGAATTCGGAATATCATTGAATGCACTAAATGAATAAGTGCATGTTACCAGTAACACTTGATGGTTAAACAGGGATATTTTTCTTTTCGTCGTTACCACTAGTAAAGCATGAGTTGATATATCAATAGCTTATTCAGTAACTTAAATTTTTTAAAGGATTTTGTTTAAAATATAGTGTTTGAAGAATGTTATTTAATGGAAAATAAAATGTTTGCACTTAACTGCTACGTCACGTAAAATTATGAGTATTAACGATTAGGACAGGGAGCGTATATGTGCGTATGTGACGTAATAAAATTATTCTTAGCCTTTACTTTTGCAAAATGATCTAATTCGCATAAAGCATTACATATAACTTATGGCAATACGTGATATTCTCTGCAATAGACAACTTAGTCTTTCAACACCTGACCAGCAATCCTTTATTTGGATTGCTTGCTGCATAGCTCAACGATGTCTACAACGTTGCCAATTATTACTCGGAGATAATATAAACCAGACACAATTGATATTTTAAGAGGAATTTTGTATTCCTAGTTTTTCTATTAATGCGTTAGTGGATAACCTGATTTGTGCATCATAATCGGCTCCAACTCACACTCAATACAACGTTGTAATCTTTGCATTAAGATAATATCATTTTATTCAAGCTTCACAATTTTCAAGACAAAAGATAATAAATTTATAGATAGGTTGTAAACAGAGCTTTACATTTATTTTCAAAAATTTATATCCTCATATGTTTTTCATATTCAAAGTCGTCGTCATATTCTATGCAGTCAAAACAAATTCCTTGGAGCAACAGGCCTAAATAAAATTTTACGAACACCCTGAATAGTTCAAACGTATTCAAAATTAAAGTAAATATACTTTTGAGGGATTGAAACAATATGAGAATATCAAGGTTCAAGGGACATTTGGTTATATGCCCTTCGGCTGGTTTTAGGTCAAAATATTTAACCACCGCAGCGTTTCAATTAAGGATAACATTCTCTTAACTTCTAAGTTAACACAAGCAGTTCATTGCACAAAAGAAAATGATTTTATATTTTACCTATTTTATAATATGTACAAGTCATTAACTTTCTTAAAACTAAAGCCTATATGGCGAAGTAACCTTCGACAAGTAAGGATACGCCGATATCTCTAAATTAATTAATATAATTTAAAAGAACAATTATAATCATGAACAGAATTTATAGTATTTTCGTGCTTTATTTTTAATACTTGATTAATGACTAGGTCACTGGGATGTTTATAGTGGTTTTATCAAACTGGATGTTGGCAGCATCGGGAAGCAGTCATGCTAAGTATAAAACATAGGTAAATAATTAAAAGGTTAAACGCTTTAGGAAGTCTTTTTCAAAGGATTCCAATACCAAGCTAATCGAATCAGAGATAGAAATTAATCCAGGGAAAACAATATTAAGTGAAAAAAGTAGTCAACCACCCTATGCAATAGTAATTTTTAAATGTTTTATTTAAAGATTGATGAAACAAAAAATTCTACTAGGTTTAGCTGCTTTTGTGATAAACAGATGGAGTTCGGACTTTGTGAATTTCATCGACGTTCAAACAGAGTAGTACTTTTAGAAAAGAAAATTATAGGAAAAAAACGGAGACTATCTCCTATACAAATGAAAATTTCCCATAACCGGTACTTTCAGATAAAATAGAAATTAGTTCATATTTATAGAGATTCGAATCTACTTGGAATACCAATTTGCATATTTCAAAAGTTCTACTATTTTGAAAATAGACGGTACATATAATTTGACTTCAGTATTAACTATTATAATTAGAACTCTTAATTCGTCCACTTTCGCCGAAAATAAACAGCTATCACTTAATCTCATTTTTGACTGTGATGAAGTCACTGAAGTATCATTTTCCGTAAGGCTTTACTTCATGCTCTAATTGATTTAATTTTTAGTTTGGGAGAGATAAATCCCTCAACTCGGAAAAGGAGAATGTCACTAATTTTTCAAAGGATCATCTTCATATGGAAATTTCAGATTTTTCGAGGAAATTAGTCGATACAAACTATTATGCCAAAAAATTGATCAATCATCATTTAATTGAGCAGGACAATATTCTGAAATCAGTAGGCAAATAACTTTTTATTCACATTTTCAAAATCTCTAGACTAAATCTATTTCAAACTATCGACTTGCTTCACCCGGAGTAGATTGGCCAGATTGTCGACTAAATGAAAATTTAAAAAGACATCCCCTGTTCCTCCTTTTTCGAAGCAATGATGCATTCTCCAATACTGAATTCTACACCATGACTATCTTCTCATCTATTTATCTCTTTGATGTCATCCATGGATGCCGAATTTCAGAGGAATTCAACTTACAAGGTAAGACCACTGGCGTTTTCAGAGTCGCCGATCGTTGGAGAGAAATGAGTAAGACGAAGGAAGTTCAAACTGATGAATCACCAAACAAGGTGTTGGAGTCATACCTTGAGGGTGTCTATCTAGTCATTAAAGTAATTGCAACGAGCTCCTATAACGTTCATACGATTGACCCATAATTTTTTACCACAGTAATCGAGTTTGATTTGTATTAAGGTTAGCAAAGTTGTTCGGGGTCTGGAACTTAACGGAGAAAATGCTGATATGGTATTAACGGACTCGAAGGTTAGTTCATTTTGTTTAAAGCACGTTGAATCGATTCAATATTTTTTCCAATGATCTGTAGAAAATTCGCCTAATATTATTGATCAGAAGAATCAACCAAGCTAATTAAAGAGTAGAGAGTGGTTCAAATAGGAGATGAGGTGAGTGAAGAAGTGTGTATCAAATTTAGGATATTTTTAAAAATCTCAATTAGTCTGAAATCGTATTTAGTCTAACTGTCAATTGGACACTAAATAGGTAAATTGAGCTAACTTTTACAAGATTCTGACACTAGAATCCTCGAATGATAGCTATTATTCCCAACACAATGGACATTTCGATTGGAATATTCCAAAATAAAGTTGAAGCATTAGGTGACATTTGTGCCCACTCTCGCCGTTATAATTTTATAAACCATTACTATTACCCATTTTAGTCAGTAAAGGAAACAAGAGAAGTTTCAAAAGGAGTGGATAGTTCTTCAGGCGGAGGTTGCGTTCTACTGAAACCATATGCTTGGACGGCTGTGGACATATCCGCGTTAGCTGGTCGAGCGTGGGAGGAAACCCAAGTACTATCTAGACGTCGTTGCCTAAGCGGCTGCGAACGGCCCTCATCTGCTGATCGCCGAGGTATTTATTTACTTTGAGTACTTTCGTTTGCCTTGTTTAAGTTTAAGCCATGCGTTATATTTGTAATTACCGTTTCCAAGTGACTAAAAATATTCCCTTCACATTTTTGATATTTCTATATTATTATTGGTGTTTCTGATTTAACTATGATTTGTTCTAGCTCATTGAAAATTTATTTTTTTCAATGGATCTATATTTGTATTCAGATTTTAAAATTCATTTCACATTCATATACTAAATTGCTCGGGCAACTTATTTCTAGTAAATTAAATAATGAAAATAATAAAATTTCAGTGTAGTATCAACAATACTCTGGGATGATGAGATAGGCTCTTCAAAGCCTCAGAAACTGGGCTAGGCTTATGCAAAAAGTAAATTTTATGTAAAAATTCTTTAAGACTCAACATAATAGTGACATTTTAGGTCATCAATCATAACAGTTTAGGTTTTTACTTCAAATCCTTTTATTTTAAGTTTTAATAAAATTATTTTAGATATTTATTGAGTATTTACTGATGATCTTATCGGACGTATAGTCCCAAAGTACTTGATAGTAATGAAACATTTACCAAAAGCTTTATATTTATTGAAGGAGTGAGTTCTTTATCAGATTTTGAAATTTGCCTCGCAGCCATTATATTTTATTAGTAAATTATTTAAAGTTGCAAACTACTTTCATATTTATGGCGTCTGTAATTATAGTTAATAATAAAGCGTCCTTGATCTAATGCATCTATCCACGAGATAATCACTTATTTCGTTTCAGATTCTCAATGTCAGCGAAGACTGGAAGGACTGAAGAGAAATATATTTACCGCCGAATCCCAAGAAATGCCCAAACGATCAACACGAAGTGTCTCTAACGAAAGATTTTCATCGCCCAGCGTACTTGAAGGACTCGGAAACAAACTTCAAATCGGTGATTTTGGTTGTAGACGCTCATATGCTACACTTGCGCCTAGTTGGAGATCACCCAAGGATAAGTCAAGGGACACTTCTGACTTTGTGGAACTGAATATTCAATTGAATACACGAGTCTTCATAAAAGAGGTAAAAGTTGGCAAAAGATTTTACTTTGAGAAGCTTTTATGACTCTAACAACTTTGGATTTTAGGAGCCTGGAATCGGGAATTATATGATTGAACAAATAATAGCGAATGCTTTCAAGATGAAATCCTCAATGAATGGCTTAAGTCCATGGGTGCATGAATTGCCTCTGCAGTTTGTTCATGGACATTCCAATCGCCGCATTAAATCGATCACTTGTCCAAATGATATCCTCATTTCTGGCCAAATAGTGTCTCCATATGGACTTTCCAAACACCTTCAAGTTGCCGACTTGCACACAGCTGAAGGTGAACAATTACTGACTCAGAACCAACCGGAAATAAAATTGCAGGAAGTTTTGGAATTTCCAACTCCTATTCGAGCTTACCCATTCAAACTCCCTAGGTAACTTGTTTTTTCAAGGTTATTTGTTTAGGTTAAATAAAACTATCATAGTTATTTCACCATGGCATTTATCCGTGTTAGAGAAAAGTAAATTTACAGATGGAACAAATAATTCAGGAACGAAGGTGTTTATTGTTCTTTAATACCTATGCTTACTTTTATCTTTTCCTTCAGGGCTAATGATAAATATCATAAAGCCTGCCATTTGAAACAAATAAATCTTTTCCTTCAGCATAAAATTAATTCTAAAGCTTTAAACTGCCAACAATCTTAAGTTTAATACGTATTACAAATTACATAAATAAATTGCGAACTATTAGGTTGGCAACTAAGTCATTGCCGATTTCAAATAAGATGGCAAATTCGGAATTTTTTTAAAAATATAACTTTATTCAATTAGATATTGGCCGTTCTTGTCGATGACCTTTTTCCATCGTTCTGGCAGAGTAAAAATTCCCCGTTCGTAAAACGTCTGGTCTTTGCTATTAAAAAACTGCATTAGGTGTGATCCGACATCATCCGCGTTGTTAAAAATTTTACCATTTAAAGAGTTTTGCATGGAACGAAACAAATGGTAATCCGAAGGCGCAAGGTCAAGGCCATATGGTGGGTGTGACAAAACATCCCAACCCAGTTCCAATAATTTTTGCCGAGTAACCAAAGATGTGTGCCGGGGGCCTTGCGTTATCATGATGGAAAACAACACCCTTCCGCCGATTTGATAATGCCGGCCGCTTATCTTCAATTGCATCCTTCAGTTTTTCGAGTTCTTCAACATACACATTTGAATTTATCGTTTGGTTCTGCGGCATGAGTTCAAAATACAAAATTCCTTTGTGATCCCACCAGACTGACAGCATAGTCTTTTTTGGTGAATTTCTGCTTTCGATACTGTTTGGGCTGGTTGATCTTGCTTCACCCATGATCTCTTGCGAGTAACATTGTTATAAACTATCCACTTTTCGTCGCCAGTAACTAGGTTCTTCCTCGGAAATGGATCATTCTCATTGCGTTTCAGTAGCGGCGAATCACAGATGCTAATCCGTTGCGTCAAATGAATTTCCTTTAACTGGTGAGGGATCCATAAATCACGTTTCTTGACATAACCAAGGGTTTGTAATTTTTTTTCAATGCATGTATGCGACACATTGAGCTTCTCTGCAATATCTCGTGTTGTGCTGTGACGATTTGAATCGATAATGGCCTTGATATGGGTTTCATCCACTTCGACTGGGCGGCCAGATCGTTGTGAATTTTTCAGTGAAAAATCACCGGAACGAAATCTTTCAAACCAATTTCGACACTGCCTTTCTTTTAAGGCTTCATCTCCATATACGGCACATAACTTCTTTTGTGCTTGCAATGCGTTCTTGCCTTTTCGGAAGTAATACAATAAAATGTGTCGGAACTGCATGTCCTGTTCTTTCATTTTTAAATTGGGATAAAAACAAAACTAAAGAACTAAACAAAAAAATTTTTACTAATTAACCTAGAAGCCCATACAGTAAGAAAAAAAATATAGGTTAGATGCTCTGGCCACGTTAACAAAACAAAAGAACGTATAGAGTGTATCTGTCAACAAAAACGGCAATGACTTAGTTGCCAACCCAATAGATTGAACGGTTTTGTATTCTGTTTAGTAAACAAAAGTTTGCTTTGTCAAAGAATGACATGAAGAACTATTGGTATTCTTTAATCTGTTGGGCAGTTAGAATAGTAAAAGATGCTTATGTTGACACATGGCTTATTCTTTTGCAGAAATTTACTGTACATTTATCCCAAATCGATCAATTTTGGGTCTTCAAAGAATACTCCCAAAAATCTTGAAGTAGTTATTCAACTTCGGTACTGGGATTCTACTAGTAGCCATGCTATTCCAGTGAGTATTTACAAACATGCAAAATTTAACTCTATAATTACAATAGCATCTCTTAAAGCTCTTCACTTTTAGGCTTTTCAAAGTTATAATTCTTCAACTGGCCTTCAAAACGAGACTCGAATTTATGTGGAGTTTAAAAATCGGTGAGTACAATAATATAAGCAGTCAACGAAAATTTTTACATATTGTTGAATGACACAATTTTTGCATTCCTAACTATCTTTCAGTTAGTAAAACAAATCAATCCAAGTAGTAAGAAGATGCTGGTTTAATGACAGGAGTAGAAATATTTAAAATGGGTTAATTGTTTACTTCTAGATCCTCAGAGCTTACTCATGAAATCAAGGTGATACTACCGACTGAAGTAACCCCAAATCACTATCTTTTCTTCACGTTTGTCCACGTATCTCCGGGTCCTGGACGTTCCATGAGGGAATTAGTTCGCGGCTATTCTGTGAGTCTTGTTAACATTAATCCTTAAATGTCCACAGCACTATACGGTTCTCTTTCAAAATAAGCTCCACTGATACTAGACTCGTAACAGAAGGCGCTATTGCCGTTCAATACGTCTATGGTCTTCACCTGATACCACCAAAACTCGTGAGTGCGATTGGGAACATTTTCAAAAGTAATAATTTGGGTGTTAAAGGATTAAAGACATTTTATACAAGTAAACCGTCAATTCGATGCCACAAAATGCACACATTGCATGCATTTTCGAACCAAAGAGATCGAAATCGTGTCTTTTGAAAATATATATAGGGTATTTTAAATAAGGTTAGGTTTCAAGCAATGTGTTTAAAGAAACGCCACCTAAAGGAAAAAATTCTCGAAACCAAAACAGACAGCAAAAAAAACGATAACATATTTATCTTAAATTGATATCAGAAAAGTAAGTATACAAAAATAATAAAGTATCAGTTCCCGAACACCCTAAAATATAAATCCAATAAGCAAGTGTTGTCTTCTAATATATTCAGCTGTTCATACTTTGTAATGTGACTTAATTCGGATTTATAGTCATTATTTTTATCTTTAGTGGTTTCCGGTGTTCTACGATGGATCACTCTGTTCAGGAGATGAATCCTTATATTTGTCTCAAGACCTTCCAAGTTCAGAAACGATTCGTACGATATCTAGGATTTCTGAAGATTCCAGAGAAGTTAGTTGGACCAATTTATCCCTCCCCAATTAGTGATTACTTTTAAATCAAACATATTATTTCTTTCTAGGATCCAAGTAGAGATGTATTCAATCTTCGTTTCGTTCCTATCAGCAGCTTGTATCCAGATGGGTTTGCTCTTAAAATTATGCAGGAATTTCGTGATGAGGTGATAGACCATACAGTTGCCTTACTAAATGATCAAAATCTGCTTGAAAATCAGACCGACTTGAAAAAAGAGTATAAAGATTTATCACTTTTATTTTATTCCAAATCTTTTTGATCGTGTTCATCTTGTTGCAAATTCCATTGCTTCTACTTAGATCAATACCCATTCTTGAGTACTTTCATAAGGCTAACTTGAATCAGCTGATTTCCCACTTGTCTCCAATCATGGACGGACTTTTGCAGATTCTTGGTGTCTCACTTATTCAAGAAATGGAGAAATCAGCCCAAAATGCACTGGTTTTACTGGGTTACTACTTGCACCACATAACCAATGGATTGACAAATTGGAAAGAACAACGTACCGGTCGTAACCATTTTATTTGTGCGTATTTATCGGGCATTGGGGAATGCAGTTTGGAAAATGGTATGCACGTCTCAATTTATCTGCCTACTTATTTGCATAAAATAAGATATATTGGATAAATTGAGAGTTAGATTAAGAAATGTGGAGTAAGTGACTATTACTAGATTCCTTTGGAATCTGTAGCTGAGTCCAGATATTCGAGATTTGAACCCATTACGCGGATTTATTATTGACATCTTTGAGTAAAAAAAACTGGCTGAAAATCCGCTGGAATCAATCCTCATTTTGGCGGAATAAATGAGCGTTAGTAGAAACGTTAATACTTTGCATCTGTTTCTGAAATAGGTATCAAAGCCGACTTTTTAAAACGAAGGTCTTAAAAAATTATAAACTTAAGGTAGAAACAAGATAAAATATCTCTATCTACCCGCATATATTTGTGATATGGGCTATTTAGTGAGCATGCTCATATACAGACATGTGTGCTCATATTTATATCAAATGGCAGGCGTTTTGATAGTTATCATTAGCATTTTAGTTGACTTCAGGCTTCACAGAGGGGAAGGAACATCAAAGTGGAAAAAGTCGAGATGGGGGGGGGGGAACAGAAGAGTGTTTCAAATATGTAGAAGATACAGACACAAAGGTAAAAAAAGTTGATGTGAGTACGGTGAAAGTAGTCAAATATAACATACAATGAGGTGATGATAGTTTGAAGTCAGAGATCAACTGTCGATTAATAGACTGGGTAGTTTGAAGTGAGAAGTCAACTGCCAGTTAATATAACGAATATGACATAGAGAAGTCAACTGCCAGTTAATAGATCATGGTAATTGAAGTCAGAAGTCAACTGCCGATTAATAGACTTGGGGTGATGATAGTTTGAAGTCAGAGATCAACTGTCGATTAATAGACTTTTTTTGCCGTATGAGTATACGTTGCCTAGGGTGCACCACGTGGCGGTAAGTCTATCGCACACCCCTGTGTGCTAATATGACAATGCAATAATTTTCAAACATATATAAAAGTCTGTAACAAATCAATAATACCGAACCTGTTGTTTTAATAAAGAATAATGTGGTTCGTTTTCCATTTGAGCTCATATATACATCTTGGGTCTTCTCACATTTCTCCTCAATCTTCATGCCTGTAGGTTAAAATGAAGAATTTTTGTATAAATTCTTAAGTTTTGCTAAAATTGTACCTGATTTGAATTAGTTGGAGAGAGCGTTTAATTTTTTTATTCTAGCTCTAACATATCTCCTTTCGGGATATCCCTTGTTGGGTTTGGCTTGGGTGGATGACATTTCAAGAATTTCTGGTGACAAAACTCCGAAGGTAATTTATTTCTTATTTTTCTAATTTATAAAGTTGACTAATAATGCTTATTATTACGCATACTGTGAGGTATGTCTACTTCCTCCCGTGAATATCGGCTGTGCTTCAATAAATACCTACATTTCTTTCTTTTCAGAAATTATGCGAAAAGTTGTTGCAATGTCTAGTTGCTCAATTTGAAAATAATTTGCCCTTTGTTCGATTATTATATAAGGAAACTTTATGGTTCTTCCTTGAACTATTGGTGAGTCGAAATCTAATTAATGCATGTGAACGCGATATGTTACACCTGATGATTGCTAAGGTAAAAAATTATTCCTAATAAAGGTCCGGACCTTGATGGAGGAAAATAGTGACAATTCAGGATCCATTGACCCCAACTTCGTGGAAAATTTGGATCTTCTAACGTGCAATGTTACAAACGACATTTGTGGGTGCATTTTGGAAGAAGATGAGGAAGAAAGGAATGAAACCATTTGTCTACTGCTAAATCGCACAATCGCATTCTTTCTTCAAGATCTTCTCAGCTGCCTAAGCCCCTCTTATGTATTCCGTTTTATTCGTACTTACCTAGAAGAGGTAAGATTACATAAAACGAAATAGGGAATTGATTGATTAATTAATTTGTTAAACTGGTGTGATTTATTTTGCCATTTTAGAATAAACACGTGGGCAAATATTAACTAATCTAATAATCTGTGTCTTAATTCCTTCCGACAGATTAACAGCGTAATAAGAGGATGCTTACAGACAAACCCAAAAAACACAGAGAATGGACTTATATCTCCACTGAATGCCAAAAAGATTCGAAATCTTGAGCTCTTGAAACTTGAAATGCTGCAGATTATTTCAGCTGCTCCAGAGTGCATTCAACTAAATTTTCTTGAGGCCGACCAAATAGCATCAAGCATGAATATGATAACTACAAGGGAATTCAACAAAACCGGGAATTCATTTTCTGATATTTTAACTGTACCAGAACATCAGCAACTTCCTTTCTTGCCCACTGTCCTACTCAAAGAAATCGACGCATGTCTTCTGTATTCGTAAGTTTAGTGATATTCCAGCCAACTATATCCTATCGATGTTTACTTTATTTCTAGGGACCCAGATCTTTCAAAAATCTCACTTGATACCCTCTTTTCCCTACTGAGTATTCACGAATTAGAAAGTTCGTCATCGGAAACTCGTAGCGTAGGGGCTCTTTACTTGCCATTTCTCAGCATCGCTTGCGACCAAGTGGCCGATATGTACGCAAGTTGGTTCCACAACTTAGAGAAACAGGAACGGGTCACTCGAGAGGTTGAAAAATTGGCAACTCTTCTAGAGTCTCAAAAAAATGAAAACATTAATGGAAGCACTATGAAGCGATCAGGGAGGATATTAGCCTCAATGTCTGCAAAGGAGCGAGTCAAGCGAGTAAGTCATTTCAGCCTGTCATGAGTTTTCTATAGACAGTGTAATCCTCCTGATAATTCGTGGATTCTACTTTAGTTGGGCCGTAGAAGGTCAGTAACCCCAGCCCAATCAGAACAACAATCAAGCTCCAACGTACTTCAAGGCTATAGTATGTCAAAACGTGCTTCCAAATCTTGGGTCTATGAACTCATTACACCAGCTTCAGTTATGGTAGACAGTGAGGCAAGTCGTCAGTTCAATGAAACAGCAAAGCAGCTAATTCTAGTGGAAGTGCTCTGGATTCTTCAAAATACTCAGAAAGATATACTCAAATGCTGGTTCATCAATTCTGACATTGAAGTTGCCCGAAGCATTGTTGCTTTACTAATTTTGGCTCTGGAACATTTTGAGTACTCAGTAAGTCCATGGTGTGCTTGGAAACAAGTGGTGGAGGATGGGCATTATTAATTATTTTTCGTGAGGTCTCGTGACCAATCATGTGCTCTAGTACGTAATAAGGAAAGAGGTTAACCAAAACACGAATCAAATTATTACAATGAAATTTATTAAACTGTATTTCTTTTTTAATATTCTTTGTTTACTGTTAAGAGTGGCACAGAAACTTCGAAAGAATCCCCTATAGCAAATGGTGAGTCCGTTTTAACATATTTGTCAACTTTCGATTGTGCCTGCTTATTACTGGAAAGAGTAATATAGTTAACAAAGTAAATATGTTTGCACCAAGTCAGAAACGCCTCATTCCACAATTACAGATATTTCAAATACTGGATTTTTCCGAACCAAGAGATTGCTATCTCTGGAATCTCCGAAAATGGAATCTGATAATCAACGAGAAAGGTCAAAATTTCTCAATCTTTGCGTCACTTCTATTGTGTGCAGCACATTGGATCTTATAGTTGATGTAGGTTCAACTATGTCTAATAATGCCACTCTCTATTAAGGTTTATTGCAACTCACCTTCAGATGAAGATAATGCAGAAAAGGTGGAAGAGACGGCATCTGGAAGTCAGCTCATTGAAATTGTGGCAAGAGCTTTCATTTTCGGCCTCAATATGCCACAATGTGCAAAAACGTTTCGCCTTTTATGCTGCGGAGTATCCAACTTGTTCTCCAAGGTTAGCTAAAGAAAATAAAAGAATTTATATTTATGGTGGGGGGTGTGCGATAGACTTACCTCCACCCTGGGCAACGTATACTCATACGCCAAAAAAATCTATTAACCGGCAGTTGACTTCGGACTTCAAACTGCCACGACCCCACTGTATGTCATATTCGAATACTTTCACACTACTCACATCTCCTTTTTTCTACCTTTTCCACCTTCGTCTATGAAGCACTCTTCTGTTCTCCCCCCCTCTCGACTTTCACTTTGATGCTCCTTCCCCTCTTTGAAGTCTGAAGTCAACTAAAGGGCTAATGATAACCATCAAAACGCCTGCCATTTGATATAAATAAATAAATATTTATGAAGGCATAAGTAAAGTTTCACAGCACTCTACAAAGAAGCAAACTTAGCAAATAAATCTTTTTTTTTCTGAAGTTTCCAACATATTTCTTGAACGACATGACGACCGCAACGACGACATTTGCTCTGTGCCGAGTCCTTCTCTCCCATGC